TCTGAATTTTGGGTACTGTTGAAATGTTTTTAGGGCACCCCAATATACAGTGTGTTGCAATAGCACTAGCGATAGCACTTAGACTTATATATCACATCATAGTGCTTTACAACCCTCTCTTAAAGGTTTACAGTCGGTTTAATATTCCACCAACAATCTGGGTCCTCATTTCACTGACCTTGGAAGGATGAAAAGCTGAGTAAACCTTGAGCGGCTCAGGATTTAACTGCTGGCTGTTGGCAGAATTAGCCTGCAATACTTCATTCTAACTACTGTGCCACCATGGTCTGCAATAATCCAGGCAAGAGGTGACCAAAGCAAGAGTGACCACAAATAGGCCTCTAGCTCTGTAAATGGGTGCATTTGGTGCAAACATGATTTTCAAGCAGGAATCCTGAGTCTAATTTGCACATTGGGTTTGTCTGGGACATTGCAATCCCATCTAGAACTAAATATGGAAATTCTCCACATTAAGGCAACCCCCAAATCCACAGCCTTTTGGTTTTGCTAGGATTGAGTCTAAACCTGTTGTTTCCCATCTAGATCCCCACATAGAATTAACATAACATCGTAAATATTGCATAAGACAGTAAAAACAAATAACAGAAAAGTGGGGGATGACTAATGCTTATGCAACTAATGCTTACATATTACTTAGAGCAGAATAATTAAGATATATGTTAGGGTTTATCATTGGGAATCTATTTTATGAATCATTAATTTTACCCCTAGTATATTCGCTTCATGTTTAAGTCCTTTGTAAATACTACCACATGTAAATGTGTGCTCAACCTTTAGCCAGATTAGGCTACCATGCTGGCAATTCAAATGCTGAAGCTGCAATCTTGCATCACATTGAGTTGTGGTTTGTTAAGCAAGCCAGAGACAACGGTATCTGGCTTCATAATGAATGCTAAACCATAATGCCTGGTTTTGAGTTTAAAATTATGATTGAATCTATGTATTATAGTTTGGTGTTTGATGTAGAGCAAATAAAGGTTAGAGTCAAGCCAATATACTTCAATGCACCATAATTAAAATCTTGGTATATTGATGTTCATAAATCTAGGCAGTCAGATGAACAACAATTAATGGCTTGTTTTATCTCTTTCTGATTTGTCGTCTTTTCCTTTCCTATTTCAATGAGCTAGTTAGAGACTAGGATGAGGCACAAAATCAAACCAAATATAAAACAGAAAAGCATAAACAATCAATAATCCCCATTCATAAATTAGGCTAAATCACAATTAGTATTAAAAAAAGGCTTCAAACATTCATGGCCCTAAATCAGATCAGAATGATGTATAATGCAAGCTGTCAAATTTGTGTATTATTTTACTTACATAATATTATAAAATAATTCCTGAATAACTGATTTAAGTAGAAAAGTAGTATATAAATAGCATAAATAAAATAAAACTAAACATAAATGCAAACTTTTAGTTCATTTTGATATTTTTAATTTTCAACATATATTAAATTCTAGGTTACAAACCATAAACAGATGTTCCTCTGATTTCTTTCAAAGTCTATTCCAATACATAATCAAAGAAGACATGAACATTTCTTCAATATTTAATTACAAATCTCATTTTCATTTTCAGACATAGACATCCATTAAACTAGCTAAGTTGTCCAATTAGCCTCAAAACTGAACCATAATATTTAAGCTTTTAATAGGTTTTTTGGTTTTGGGCAAAAAAATATGTTTTGATGACGTGAATAGATATTCAAGGTCTTTTTATTATCTGTATAATAGTTTAAAAATGTATTCCTTAAACAATGTTATACAAAGAGCAGGAAAGGAGTAAATAGTAATGAAAAAAGATCAAAAACTTGATATATGAGCAAATCACCTGAACATACCGTATTCCATTCATCCATGTTCATTCAGCATCAATGTATTCCTGACCTTTTGCCATTACCTCACAACCTTTTAAAGTATCATTCTTAGTTCAAGTTGAAAATAGAAATCACAAAAAAACAATAAAATAAAAGAGGAAGTATTCTCTCAAGAATCCACTCAATTTTAGGGCTTACTAGAAAATGTTGGCTAAACACTAAAATAGAACTAAATGATTCTACCCAATTCTGCTCCCAGTTCAAAAACTGACACCAAATCAGCTTTCAGTTATAAAATTGGGGGACACATTCTAAAATTCTAAAGATTTTTTTGTTTTGCCAAACCATAGAGAAGGATTATTATGACTATTTCTTTGCATGATGTATTGGTTCTATTGCTTTTGAATGTTTAGATTTCCAGTTTATATATAGTTGTATTTTGATTTATGTTTTTTTACTTTTGATTTTGATTATGTCATTAATATTGATGTACACACATCTACGAATACAAATACACACATATACCTAAAAATCTTCTGTCTCTTAAGTTACAGGTTTAGGAAATTGTCTCTGAAAAGACTCCAATGTTGTATGAATTGAATTGGGTGCTTCAAACAATGGGGCACCCCAACAATGGAGTAGTTTGGAAGGGAGTCGAGGTATCCTCATCTACATGACCATTTTTATTGTAAATTGTAAAAAGCCAGTGTGAACAGAGTAGACCAGGGGTGTCAAACTGCTGGCCCGCGGGCCGGTTTCATCATATTGGAGCCGCGCCCATCCCATTGCCGGCAATGGCGAAAAAGCTCCGATACGTCGTGCGACGTGACGTCGCGAGTTTGACATGCCTGGAGTAGACAAATTGTGTATCATTTCTTATGATTTCTGGTTTTTCTCCTGCAGAAACTTTGACACAAAGGTCAAAGACAGATATCTTCTGAAGTAAGATTTAAAAATGTCAGACATTATAGAAAGTGAAATTAAATAGGCTCTAGAAAGTATTATTAGCAGTGAAGTTGCAATTGATAATATACCAGCAGAACTCTAAAACTTTATAGGGAGATGTGGATAAAGCATTACAGGTAGTCCTTGACTCACAGTGGTTCATTCAGAGACCATTCAAAGTTACACTGGCACTGAAAAAAGTGACTTATGACCTTTTTTCAAATTTATGACCATTGCAGCATCCCCATGGTCATGTGATCAAAATTCAGATGCTTGGCAATTGGCTCATATTTACGACGGTTGCAGTGTCCTGGGATCATATGATCCGTTTTTGTGACCTTCTGACAATGGGGAAGCCAAATTCACTTAACAACCATGTTACTAACTTAACAAATGCAATGATTCACTTAACAACTATGGCAAGAAAAGTCGTAAAATGGAGCAAACTCACTTAACAAATATTTCATTTAGCAACATAAATTTTGGGTTCAATTGTGGCCGTAAATTGAGGACTATCTGTACATACAGGATGGAAGCAAATATGAAAGACACAACAGTAGCCAAAGAGCTATATTCATTTATATTCCCAGTATCAAAAAAGAGCAGTGCTAAAGACTACCAAATATTTTTGCAATACTTGGAATGAGGTGCTTGATGTACAATCTTGATTTAGAAGAAGTAGAGCCATCTGAGATCATACTGCTATAGGTGATGTATAAAGGTAAAGAAACTGGAGTTTCTATAAGACACCTAGTTTTGCTTTATTAATTATAAAAAGACTCTATTTAGACCAGAACAAATTGTAGATAGCCTTTAAAAACATGGCTGTAGGGCATCTCATTTGGCTTACTGAAGAATTTGCATGACTAAAAAGCATCAGAACAAAATATAGAATATCTAAATATTTCAAAAATGGGAAAAGAAGTGTGCCAAGTATGTTTATTTTCAACTTATTTATTTAACCTACATGCAGCATATAACACAACAAATTCTAGAAGAGGAAGAAATAGAAACTGGAATAACATTGCTTGGGAAAATATCAACCTCAGTTGTGCTGAGGATACCACATGGATAGCTGGAAGCAAGAAAGATTTAAGGAATCTCTTGCCTTTAGCAAAACAAAGTGCAAAAGCCAGGCTGATGCTCAGTAGTGGAAAAAAAAAGAAAAAAGAAATCAAGGTTGTGTCAGCAGGCAACATCAGTCCAGTGCAAATAAGTAGAAAAGAAAGTGAAGTGGTGATAAATTTTATTATTCTAAGCTTAGCTTACTTGCTTACTTTATTTATTAACTTTACTGTATGTCCCCCTTCTCATTCAGGAGCTCATAATGCTCATAATGCTATCTCCTGATTTTTCCCCACAACAACCCTGTGAAGGAGGACAGTGACTGTAGCTATGAAGAAAAGAGACACAAGCTACTTTGAAGATTATGATAAATCTAGACAAAATATTAAATGAATTTCACAAGCATATTTGCAAATTCTGAGTAACTATTCCCATGATCATTTTATTTTTCAGCAGTACCATGTGGCTGTGAAAGCTAGATCATCAGAAAAGGTGAAAAATAAAAATGGATGAACTCAACATTATCTTTGACTCGAATCCTTGAATTAACTAATGGTTAAAATGTTGGCCTAAAAACCAGGAGACTGTGAGTTCTAGTCCTGCCTTAGACATTAAAGTCAGCTTTGTGATTTTGAGCTAGCCATTCTTTCTCAGTGTAAGTCACCTCACAGAGTAGTAGTTGTGTGAAGAAGTATTAGGTATGAGCTACTTATAAAGTAATAAAGAGATTAAAATTCTATAAAGTTCACTCTCAATTTCTTTTGAGATTTTTTTTAAGTGTTCCTGAATTTAATGTCCCCCCCCCTTTCAGTTCATTTTACTTGTACAATTTCTAAAATTTTTATTTTTTGTTATTACAAATATATGAGGGGGGTAATAATACAGTTTAAAAACATTGCAAGACTACTTTAGAATAGTCTACAAGATGAAGATGACTACTTTTGAAGTGATGTCATAGAGGATGAAAGGTGTAAATTCTAAGAAGAATTGGTTTGTGAGTTAAAGGCAAGGCAGATCTCTGTGTCAGTCATGTAGTGAGAACATAGTTTCTTTTACTCCAGCAATTTCCGTCTGTATTGAGCCAGTTTTTAACCAGATATTTAAGGCTCTACCATATCTTTGATGTTCAGGGTGTATATTATGAGAACATGGATAGCATTTCTAAAGCAACAAATAAATCACCAACTAGAAGGAATACACCCAAAACGCAAGATGCATTATTAACCGAGAGTAGAAGCAACTTCAAATATAAACTTGCAATGTCTTTTGGGCTGGCAGAGAAAAGACTGGGTGAGAAATTTTCATGTGAAAATTATTACACTTAAAGCTCATGTCTTTTTCCTAAAAGAATCATAACGGCACACATAATTTTCTCCATTTGTTTTAATAATCATAGCAATCCTATGTGATAGGTTATTCAAATTTAAGTTTCATGATTAAGTTGGGATTTGTATCTGACTTACTTTGGTTCAAACCTGATATTGTAACCAACATGCAGTTATGTAAATATCTCTTTTAAAGTTGAGTCTGGTCATACTCTTGGAATTAGCTTGAACTAATTATCACATTTGCTTCTTTCCATCATCAGCTTCTTAGAAGGATTTTTCCCTTTTTTGAGCAGATCAGAAATTTATGTATTTAAATTTTTATTAACAAGCATTGTGGAACAATCATTAAAACTTAGTCAGAGGCTTCAACTATTATTTGGTCTGTGACAATTGCATGTCCTAAACCAGACTGGAAAAGAGATCTGTAGATGCATTTTGGAGAATTATATACACCAGGGGGTCTACATCTCTCACATTGTCAATATAATTACATCTAATTAGCAAAAACTATGATGGTCCATATAAACAAAAGACTGGGAACTGCTGATTTAAAGATATACCCTGGTCATGGTCCTCATTTTTCCAGAACTCTCATCCCCAATATATGCTAACTTGCCCATTAATATCAAGCAAACATTCTTTGATGCCTATGTTTCAGCAACAGGCCCATTCTGTAAGAAAGTATAGAGCAGGTTAGAATCCAGGACTCATCCAGTACTTTGGAATCTCCTTCCAATAAAGGCAGCAGTTTGTTTCACATTACAAAATATGATGGCAAGTCCTAATCATGCAATCTCTTGCAATCCCTCATTTAGCAGTTCTCTAACAAAGTTTCTGAGCAATCTGAGCAATCTTCAGTCAGCATCATGTTCACTTTAATAATCTAAACTAGGGGTGTCAAACTGCCGGCCCGCGGGCTGGACACGTCACATGGAAGCTATGCCCACCCCATTGCCAGCAATGGCAAAATTGTCCCGATACGTTGCACGACGTCACGTGACGTCACGAGTTTGACATGTCTGATCTAAGCTATGGATTATCAGAATGTGGATAATTATGGCAAGAATGGTCAGAAAGTGTGGTAACTCATTCATCTCTCTTTCAGCTCTAAGAAAAATATCCAAATTTCAATCTGGACATGGCAATAAAATCTCAGACAATAGCAATAAACTTATTTTTATTGGAGATGGAAAAATATTACAGTATTATGATCAGTTACTGCAGAATCTAGAAATCTTATTATAGATACTCTTCACTTTCCTTCATTCAGCAATCATTCAAAGTTATGACAATGCTGAAAAAATAACTTTACAGCCCATTTAAGATTATTCATGACTTTTGCTACTTCCCTCGGTCACATGATAGCCATTAAGTCAGTATGCATTGTCCTGAGAGATTGGACAGGGAGAGACTTCAAGAGAATACTCTCAGCTATTTGCATAATGTTCCTCTGGGTTCCAAGCCCAAGCTGCAGGACGATTGCATTGCTTTTGATGTGCAGGAGACAACAAGTAGGCACTCCAGAATTTCAAAGGGCCAGGGATGTGGTTAGAAGGCAAAGAAAAGCTGAAGGTGTGAATCTGAATAGCCTTGTCTCTTTCCAGCCAGAAAGGACAGTTGTGGTCACATGATTTCCCACTTAGGGATTGCTTCACTTAATGGTGGAGTTGCTGGTCTCATTTGTCATTAAGCAAGGACTACCTCTCTCTCTCTCTCTCTCTCTCTCTCTCTCTGTATAGCTACCTAGCTAGCTAGCTAGCTAATCAGATGATAGAGAGATAGAGAGATAGATCATTGATAGATGATAGATTGATAGATGATAGATTGATAGAGAATAGAGGATAGACAGACAGACAGATGATAGATGATTGACTGATAGATGATAAATGATAGATGATTGATAGATAAATGATAGATATATAGATGATAGATAGTAGATGATAAATAGATTGATAGATGATAGATGATAGATTCATAGATGATAAATGATAGACGATTGATAGATGATAGATACTGTTTATAGATGATAGATGATAGCATGATAGATAATAATAATAATAATAATAATAATAATAATAATAATAATAATAATAATAATAATAATAATAATAATAAAGTTGGACGGGACCTTGGAGGTCATCTAGTCCAACCCCCTGCTCAGGCAGGAAACCCTATACGATAGATGATAGATTGATAGATCATAGATGATAGATGATAGATTCATAGATGATAAATGATAGATGATTGATAGATGATAGATATATAGATGATAGATGATAGCTTGATAGATGATAGATTGATAGATGATAGATGATAGATTGATAGATGATAGATGATAGATTGATAGATGAAAGATGATAGATAGAGCAGTTCTACAATTGAAACAGTATCTTTTTCTCCTAGCTTTATGTGGTGACAGGCTTTTTTGCTGATGTAATGGTCTGTGGAAATGACCTTGGGAAACAAGAAGATGAGCTGAAGCCTAGTCAAGTGTCATATATCTCAGATCATAGAAGGAAAAGGATTGTAAGAAACATCTCATAAGAGATCCTTTCTAGTTTTCTGAAAAGTAAAAGTGGGGAGAATTGGTTTCAGATTTGCAAGATTCTGTTATTGCAGTGGTTCTCAACCTGTGGGTCGGGACCCCATTTGGGGTCGATCGACCATTTCATGGGGGTCGCCAAGCAAGGCTGTCTGCCATTTTTTTTGTCCGCCATTTTTCCCCCCCTTTTCCGGCGGGTGGCCTACCTCCCTTGGGCTGGGCCAGCTGGTGGTCGGCCTGCTCCGTCTCTGCCACTTGCCAGCTATGCCTCGGCCGGCGCAGGGGGCGGAACCACGCATGCGCGGCGCTCCCGGGCAGGGAAAGTCCTTGACTTACGACCGGTTGGGTAGTCCTCGACTTACGACCGGTTTAGTCCTCAACTTACGACCGGTTTAGTCCTCAACTTACGACCGGTTTAGTCCTTGACTTACGACCGGTTGGGGTCGCGGCATTAAAAAGGTTGAGAACCACTGTGTTATTGTAACGTTACAATGAAGTGTGAGTACTCATGCTTCTTGCCTGGACTCTCTCAGGAGGGCTGACAGCTGCCCATTTTTTTAGCCTTAGATGGTGAGGGCACCAAGATAATGGTCTTGCAGATCCCACAGTTTACTTCCAGTATTGCCAGCATCCACCCTCCTGCTTCTTGTATCAGTGCTAAACAAATCAGCACATCCAAGTTGGTGTTTGATCATTCAGAAGGAACGAGGTTATTCAAGGCAATTGTTTTTCTTTTACTTAAGCTTCCAAATTTTGATTTGGATGTGATAGATAGAGTTTGCTAAATTATTCAGATAATCTAAAGTTTTAAAATTGTGGAAGAAAAATTAAAGTGAAGCTCCTTTTTAATGGCTTTTTAGATGGAAATATCTTTCTAAAGGCAATTAGCATATTTAGAAGATTTGCTGGGTGATGGAAGGTTAAATTTGCCCACCCTATCTCCACAATGGTGAAGATGTTAGTTAGGCATCTGCAATTGTTTACCTAAAAGAAAATACATGTTATTGCACTCACAGAATTAAAGCCATGTCTACTTTTATTATAAATATCCATTTTGCTACAACTAAAAACTCTGGAGCTCTCTTAGCTATTTCAGTTTTATATATTTTCTGTGATTCCATTTGCCTGAAGATTCAGCTGTCTCTTCTCCCAGTCAGTAGATGTAGCCCAGGAACAAGATGGCTATATCTTGGGATGACCCTGTTTTACTTTCATTTGCTACAAAGAAGAGTATCATTTCTCTCTCTACTTCCTGTCCATTTCTCTTCTTCTCTGGAGGAGAGCAAACCTGCAGGAATATGTTTGGAGCTAGCATTATCTTGGACAAACTGGAGACACATTATTCCCCTTTTAGTACACATTTCAACCCTAATATGGCTCTAAGGATGGGTAAAGACTATTGAGGAAACAGGCTGGAGTTTTGTTTGCCCAGCGTGTCCAGCAGAGGATTTAGTTTAGTCCTCGAAAAAGGTTCAGTCTGTTTGGAGCTAAATCTAGCACCCTGTTGGTTTAATGGATCGTTTGTTTGAATTAGAGAGTAAAACATGCTTATTCCCAGCAAGCCAATAAACTTAGGACCTATGGATGGGCAAAACAACTGTAGAGTTTTTTTTAGAGATAATCTGCTTTTGTCAGTCCTACAAAATGTATAATGACATACAAGTGACATACAAGCTGGATAAAACCTATTTCTTGTGCTTTCTAAGGATGAAAAATTCCTGGGATGTTTTATTCCCTTAAAATATCTTTGCTGTCTCCCATGATAATAAGGATTTGCTCCAGATTTTCTAATATAGTTTCAACAGAATAAATATCTTCCTTTACAATTATACTAATTAAGGATGATGGTTATATGTTTTTATATTACTATATCCCTGAACTTATGTAAATTTTAATGTGGTATTTTACTAGATTGCAAAAATCTTTGCAGCGTGTGCATGCAGAAATAGAGGAACTGTTATTTCAGTTTGGGTCCCCTCTGCCTTGCTCAGTCTAGGAATCCAAATTAAATATCCACAATAACCATTAGTTAAACTCTTCTGATGACGGAGAATGCTCCAGCTTAGTAAGTAATTAGCTCCACTGTTACACAAATGGTAACATTTTTTCCTCTAATATTCAGTTTGAATCTATATTACTTAATGTAATGTATTACTCCATGTCTTTCTTCTCAGTCTTTGTGTAATTGCCTTTTAACTATATGAATAGTGCTGTATTCCGGTATGTCTAAATGTCTCTTAAATGTTAGGTGTTAGGACATAATATTTAAATTGAGATCTGACCACTGCAGGGTAAAGTCAAGAATTTACATCCCAGGTTTGTATGTTCTTCACAGTGCTGAGGAATCAATGGTGAGCATTCTTTAACTACAATTATTGAGCCTGTTATACATCCACTTAATGCCATCCGGTTTCCACTTA